GTGCGCGCGTTGTGATTGGTTGTCTAAAAATAGATTATCGGGACATCTGATGGTGGCGATACCAATGGGGAGATGGACACTTCTGGTTATGTACTTCTGACCCTGTTCAAGACAAATYGGAAAAATAAGGAATCGCTATCTACGCAACAACCATCAAAACTGCAAATATACTATAATATATAGACAATAAGTATTTTTTGATAACACGTTATCCTGCTAGAGTGAAACGGTATTTCTTATGAAAATATTACCTTTCCAAGACACAGAAAAAAATTATATCGGTATTTTATCTTAATTGTAGACCCTTTTTAAGACAATTTGGGTGAAATGTAYACCCTGTTTAAGACAGCAATGCCAAAAACCATACCCTGGCCAGCGGCACGTCCCCGTATAGCAAATATATGGGAGTGCAAAAAGCGGTGCAAAACCAAGGTGCCTTGTAGTCTCGTTATACTGTCAAACTTGTAGTTCTTATCYGACAGTTAAATGGAATATTCGAAATTAATAGAAAAGATTAGATTAAAAATAAACCAAGGAGTCACAAGGTGCAACCAGACTTTAGCTTAGTCGAGGCACACAACTCCAACAAGACAAAATAGAAAACCTATCAAAATAGTTACCTAAGTTATATTCGAGACAAATGTATTGGAATCCTAAAAGACCTTAAACARCTAGGAGAAACGTGATATGTATACGAAACGGATGTCATATTTTATGTATAACCAATATAATGTCAAATTAWGTATCTGTTCTATTWGAGCAAAACCGCAAGTGGAGCTTGACGGTAAYCTATAGTAACGAGCGGGTCCCTGGAAATAGCGTTACAAGTTACGAAGTTACAAAGTTACGAAGTTACAAGGTTAAATTCTGTTACTTTTCCGGTTGAGTTTCAGGCCATTTTGAGCYATTTTGAGCCATTTATTGCTATTGTTATCATTCGCTCTAAAAAGAAGGGAAGGTAGCTAGGTCAACCCCACAGTGACCGCMAGAAGCCGTGTTTAGTTTCGGTCACGCGTCACGCAAAATGTGTGGAGAGGTTACGTGACGCGTGACCGAAACTAAACACGGCTGCGAGGAGACTACCGAAAATGTGAATCRCSCAAATATTCCCTCGGATTTTCTTTGCCAGAGAAACTCTCCATCCACACATGCAATTTCGTTTCGAAACTTCAACGCTATCACAACGAAAACCCGCTGTATTTCGACGATATCGCCGAATAGAAGGTCGGGCTCTTTCTCAATGTATACAACACTCATTATACGCTCTATATACCTCAATATAACCAACTATACCTTACCCTAAACCTAACCCTTTGGGAACTCTGTGTTGTATACATGAAGGAAGGTCGAGCCTTGATAAGTTGATACGATCAGGGTTGGACATTTCAACATTATAACTGACAGTATATAAACATTGTTTTAAACGTCACTATCTTTGAAAGTAAAAATTAAAAAAAAATTTCAAATATCTCGCAGTGCTCTATAGAACTAGACGATCATAGATTACGTGAACTACCTCTAGCTACGAAAATGGTATTTCATTTTCACGATACAGTGTTTGTTTGTAATAAGTCAAGACAGAATTAAGTTAATATCAGTTATTTATTACATCATAATTTTTTTACAGAACTGAACTCTAAGTAACTTCTTTAGATATCATGTCTTTCCAGTCAGTTTTCCAAAATAACTATCTCGAYATTACGCTCTAAGAGCGTCTATATTATTCAAAATATACAAATTATCTGAAAGGTCATAATATTTTGATCGTTTGAATCATGTAAGATCTTGTGTTTCTGTTCTTTTTATTTGGTGTTTTTCTTTAATTTGTAATTTATAATTTTACATCTGGTATTCTCTGMCATCATCAAACAGGTGTACCTTCTAATGACATTTCATATTTTTGGATTTGTCTCAGTTTTTCAAGTTAAACAATCATCAAAACAAATTTTAATAAAGAATTAAAATGCTTCATACACAATATAGATTTTGTACAGAGTTCAGTAAAGCTSACACGTGCAGTTTTCAACTTCAAWCACTTCAATCGTCAGTCTAGAAAATGGCATCAATATTTTTCTAATTTCAGATGAAGTTTGATGTGTTTTAGTCCATCGAATAATTATTCTTCTGTCAAAGTATGAACCTTAAATATCCATGTGATTTCTTATTTTTGAAGATTTTGGCATTGACATCGAACACTTGTTGTGGTGAAGTAGTGCTCTTCGTGTGGGCGGTAGAAAATGATCAGTCATGAACGAATCATCCGACAACTTTGAATTATATATTGGATGGWAATCAGTTAATTTTGTAAGATTTTCAGCTCTTTAGAGCATTTTAGCTACATTTTAG